AGCTGCAATTTTACCAGCTGATTATTCCGTCATCGTTTCATAATAGCCTGATAAGTACAAAAAAAATGTTGTAAATTATTTTGTGTATAATCAGCTTATAAAAATGTTTTGTGATTGAACCCAATCGGAGCGAATGTTAGCGCCATTTTACAACTGAAATTGTATATAACATTGTAGGTATGTGCGCTTCCTTGTCACTGTATCAGCATCTATCTGCTTCCACCCGTCCAACTCCAAACGTTTGCCCAGAGCTTAGCAAATTTGTTTGATAGGGTGACAAACTAGCACACAGTCCACCTGATGGTAAGTGGTTGCTGTGGCCTATAGACATCTACATCTATCCTCGTTTGCGAATCAAAATGCAGATGCGTTGTTACCCGTGAGGACTAAGATGGAATGCCTCTTTTCCAGTAAAACGGGTCTCCGGTTGTCTACACTCACCATAGGAAATACAGCAGTGTTAAGCTGCTATTTTACGCCGGTATTCTGTGAGAGCGTGGTCCTTTCCCGGTCGAGCCGACCCGTTCGTGCTACAACTATACTACTAATATTACTGCAGCATACTAATACTAATATTACTACCACGTATAAAATTATGATATATGGTTATATGTTTTATATATATATATATATATATATGGTTGGATGTTAATTACAAATGAAACAGTTTGTCTGTTAGTGCGATATGGCAAACTTGATCACACTCGTTTGATTGTTTATTTAAACATAAGCAAAAGTAGTTTTAATAAAAAGCTAGTACCACAAACCCATTGAATTATATAATTAACTCATGAGTTACTCGACTCCATAGGCAGTTCGTTTACGTAACGGTATACTTACATTCCATATACTTTATAAAGAATGATATATTGTACCATATCGCTCTTTACACGAACATTATGTATGTATGTAACCCCAGTGCCAGCTCCTTCCACTTGACCGAGTTTTTCTGATCGGCTCGATTCACTTACGGTGCGAAGAGCTGTTCCATCCTTTTGCATTTTTTATGGCATTTACCTCGGGGAATGCTCTGAGGAATTGTTCAAATTAATTCCAACCGCCAAGTTTCACGAAAGAAGTTTGCGACAAAACTCACGATACCATCCACATCAACTGGATGCTGGCGGTCCACCACGGTGCATTTTACTAGAAGTTTTCTTCCTGGTACAACCCCTTTGTGGAATCGTTTACCACCGGCGATTTTTCTGGACCGATACGACTTAGGGGCCTTCAAAAAAAGAGCTTACTCCTGGCCGGCTACGTACCTGCACTTTTTTTTTAAATCGTTACCCCCACACTAGGATTTTCTCCTGTATCGTGGAGGCAGTTTACAAACAAATTGGACGAGGACAGACATCCAGACCCGGAACAATTATTTGTAGGCCATACAAATACTTGTTCCGTGCGGTATGCGTTTGGTCATGGGCGGCTGTAGTCATTTACCATCAGGTGCATGCTCGTTTGCCCCCTCTTCTATAGAAAAAAAAAACATATTTTATAATCAAAAACTGTACTGCATACGTTACGAACACAAAGTAACCGATAAAGTACAGAATAAGAAAATAAAACTAAGACACTGACCGTATTGTGAGCGTGATGATGTATGACGAACGAACTACGCCTCTATAGTCTCTACATCGGAAGTCTAAAAAGATTATTGAATAAACTGTTTACAACCGTCACCATACGACCTTGACCGAACCGTCCTATGCGCATGAAGTACATCGGATATCGGAAGAAAGATCGTCGGTTTGACCTGTGAATAGTATGGAAGGGGCATTAAATTAGTGACGTAACCATAAACGACGTTTAAGATAGTGTATCTCTTGTTATAACAAGATATTCGTGTTCAAAGCTTACCTCAATTTTCTGATCTTTATCAGGTTCTGTCGCACACGTGAGATCGTTGTTTTTAGTCATCATCATCATCATCGTCATCATTACAGCCCTTCACAAGTCCACTGCTGAACATAGGCCTCCCCCAAGGAATGCCACAAAACACGGTCCTGAGCGACCTGCATCCATCGACTTCCTGCATGTCTTACCAGGTCGTCACTCCATCTAGTGGGGGGACGCCCTACACTTCGTCCGCCGGTAAGAGGCCGCACTCATCAGTCATCGTTAAGAGTTATATAGTAAAAATATGTCTATTTATCAAATTTCACATTGGGGTCAAGTTAACTGGTCGTACCTGAGACTCATAACTAATAAAGACTCAAGTGCAGTCACGCTTTCAATGGATAACAACAAAGGAAACACAAGCTGGTAATGCCGGTTACTCGACTCCACTATTATTCTGTGACTGCGATGTGGAGACTGCGGACAGTTGGATAAATGAAAGTCTCGTGGCGATGTTTGAAATAATACTGCTTTATTAAAATACAAGCTGTTCCCCGCGACTTCGCCCGCGTGTAATTTAAGGTTTTAATTATGTTGCGCGGAAACCTAATTCTTTATCTCAAACAAAAGTAGCCTACGTTACTTATTATAACATCAGCTATCTGCCAGTGAAAGTCCCATCGAAATTGGTTCAGCCGTTTCGAAGATTAACCGGAACAGACAGACAGACAAAAATTTTAAAAATTGTGTTTTGTTATAAGTATCGTATATACTTTCATATGCATTTAGTAACAAGCTTTTATTTCAACATTACAAACAGACATTTCAATTTTATTTAGGTATTTGTATAGATTACATTTCTTATATACTTAATTCTAACAAAGAAAAGTTGTTCCCGTTGGTATGTAGGCTGGTTTTAAGTGACGGTTTCTAATGACCATGTTCAAGTTACATGGTATGATCTTATTACAATCATGATTGCCTTATATGGATAAATCCTCGAAAAAAGTATCGAATAAAGTTCTTAGTAGAAATCGTATTTAATTATAGTATTACCTACACATTACAACTCCACCCTCTACCACTATACTCCATTCTTACGCCCGTCACCAAGAGAGGCAAAGACTACAGATACGGAATTTCATTTAGCACAATCCCGATACACCTTTCTTGCTTTTTTTCATCCATATGTCTACGCGTACTCTCTCAATTTGGCCCATCTTAAAAATATATCGCTAAATTGGTAGATAAAATTTCGCATTCTAGCCCTTACCGACTCTGCACTTCACCTCTGCAGCATACATTTGCTTTGTCACTCTTTCCTCGCTAATTCTCCACGGAAGAAATATTTTTTAACTGGTCACACGTTGCAAACATTATTTAAAATTAAAAATTTTGTACTACCGACTTCAATATAAATTATTAAGAATAACTCAAAAACTAATGGCCAGACGTTGATCAAATTTATATTTTTTTTTTTTTTTTATAAGATAAGGGTGACAAACGAGCACACAGTCCACCTGATGGTAAGTGGTTGCTGCGGCCCATAGACATCTACATCTATCCTCGCTTGCGAATCAAAATGCAGATGCGTTGTCACCCGTGAGGACTAAGATGGAATGCCTCATTTCCAGTAAAAAGGGCCTCCGGCCACCTGCACTCACCAAGCGAAACGCAGAGGTAAACCTCTACTTCACGCTGGTATTCTGTGAGGTCGTGGTACCACCCCGGATCGAGCCGGCCCATCCGTGCGACAGCGAAAGCTGCGCGTGGCTCTGTTAGAATGTGAAGTACCAGCTTTCAAATAAAAAAAGAATCATAAATTGGTTCACCCAGTAAAAAGTAATAAGGTAATACACATAAAAAAACATTCAGTCGAATTGAGTACCGTCTACTTTTTTTTTATAGAATAAGGGTGACAAACGAGCACACAGTCCACCTGATGGTAAGGGGATACTGTGGCCCATAGACATCAACATTTATCCTCAATTAAGAGTCAAAATGCAGATGCGCCGCCACCCCTGAGGACTGAGGTGGAATGCCTCGTTTCCAGTAAAAAGGGTCTCCGGTCCTCTACACTCACCATACGAAACACAGCAGCATTGAGGTGCTATTTTACGCTGGTATTCTGTGAGAGCGTGATCCTTCCCCGGTCGAGCCGACCCATTCGTGCTGCAACCACAATATAGCTACAGCATGGATCTACCACGTTGAAAGTTAGTAGAAAAGACGATTATAAGCTAAGCCGAGAAGTGGCCACTGACGCGGACGTCTTCTATTGCGATCACCGATATCTGCCAACTTTCCCCTATATGCGAAAGGCCCAAGTTTGGACATTGGACTTTACGAGCTAATGGTGATAAATATTATACAACTCTGTGTAAAAAGTATCGGGAATATGTCAATAAAAAGACCCGCGTAAAAGAGGTCGTTCTAATTTTTTTACTGCATGTTGGTAGCACTGTACTGATTTAGCGCGCAAAGTTTGAGCGGGATCTGTCATTTAATTTGTTTTAAACTACACTTTTTGTTGGTCATAGTTTTGAGTTCTCGGCGATTTTTACAATGGAAAATATTGTTGAACAAATAGTGTGCCTTAAATTTTGTGTTTCGAAAGATATTTCATGTGGTGAATCACTAAAAATGTTTCGAAATACCTACGGCGAATCGTGTATATCGAAAACAAGGGCTTATGAATGGTATAAGGTTTTTAAAGAAGGCCGAGAAGTAGTAGTAGACTTGCCTCGTTCTGGTAGACCTTCAACCGCTACGACCAAAGAAAACATCGACAAAATCAAGAAGCTAGTGCTCGAAAATCGACGTATGAGTCTGAGAGAGTTGGCTAGTGAGGTGAACATATCTTTTAAGTCCGTCCACAACATTCTCATTGACATTTTAGGCATGAAACGCGTCGCCGCTCGACTAGTTCCAAAAGACCAAAAGAGCTCAATTTTGTTCAAACAGCGCCGCGAAAGCATGTCGCTGAAGACATGGTTTCCCGAGCTTCTACGGATCCGACCTTTATGAAACGTATAATAACTGGCGACGAGACATGGGTTTATGAGTACGACATGCAAACAAGCCAACAGTCTTCAGAATGGCGTCTCGAAAACGAGCCGAAACCCAAAAAACCGTGGCAAAGTCGCTCCAAAATCAAGGTGATGCTGACAGTTTTTTTTTACTACCGTGGTGTGGTTCACTCCGAATTCCTTCCAAATGGAGAAACAGTGAATAAAGAATATTATTTAGGCGTCATGAAGCGTTTGCGTGAGAGTATCCGCCGAAAACGTCCAGATTTGTGGCAACACAACTCATGGATGCTGCACCATGATAATGCACCATCACACACAGCCATTATAGTGAAAAAGTTTTTAGCGAAAAATTCAACAAAAGTTCTCGACCAAGCACCGTATTCACCTGATATGGCTCCGTCTGACTTTTTTTTATTTCCCAAGTTAAAATTACCACTTCGAGGAAAACGTTTTGAGTCGATAGAAGCCATAAAAAAAATTCGCTGAATGAGCTAAAGGCCATACCGCAAATAGCCTATGAAAAATGTATGGAAGACTGGGTGAAGCGTTGGAGATGTTGTATTGCAAGCGATGGGGCCTACTTTGAAGGCGATAAAATAAATTTAAATAAATTTGTATTTTTTGTTTTATTGACAAATTCCCGATATTTAGTACACAGAAAGTAAAATAGAAAAAAAATCTATTGGTAAATCCAATTGAGCATGCCTTCGCATTAAAAAAAAATACGTATAGCATGATTATACGGAATTTTTTTTAAAGTATTTTAAATACACACAAGTTTTCACTAATAACCTTATTATACTTCCAATTTTCCGATAATTTTATGTCAAACTTCAATTTGAAAAAGATTGGAAAGTCCAAAGTGCACGACTCATAATGCTCATATGATCATCATATCATCATTAATGTCACTCAAAAAGTTCTGATTATTATAATAATCAAGTGTGTATGAAATTTGTTTTTCGAATATTTTGTATTTATTTGTACAGCGATCTTTTTGAGCCGCTGCAACAGCACTCACAACAGCGGTTGACGCCGAACTAAACTAAGCGTAAGCGAGTGAGGCACAGGCAGTCTCTATTTACTGAAATAACTTCTAACACAAGGCTACCAAATCAATGAAAATTTCGCCATTTGGAGCCGAAAAAAATTAATTATAGCTAAATAAAACAAAATTACACTGCCATTTACATTCAGTGGCTTCCCATATGATAGATGAAGAGATTAAAAAATAGATTGAGTTAAACAATTGATATTTTCAAAAGTTAGAGTGTTTACAAGCCTTGCGGACTTGATAAATCCACACCATAACTAAAAACTAAAACCCCTTTTTTCTGTAAAAATAGCAATTCCCTAAATAAGTATAAATTCCCAAAATAGTATTCCCTAAAACGCATTGTGAATCCACCACGCATGTTGTACGATAGTACGGAACCCTTAACGCGCGAGTTCGACTCGCCTTTGGCCGGTTTTTATCAATTTCGTCACACATTTTATAAAGAAGCATGACACATTATTATGTATCCATTTACTATTCAATTGATGCGCTGTGCTCTATCGACAATGACATTGACAATGCCCCTCTTCCGTGAAACGTGGCATGTGTGGGAATGAGAATGCAAATGCAATACGTAGTAAAAGGAAAGGTTCAAAATTAGACGTCCATGTGGCCTTTGGCAGGGCGGAAATAAGGTTGTTTACTTTGTGAAGCAAGTTTAAGCCGCAAGTAGTTTAATTAATTACCCTATTACTTTTATAATTAATAACTTCATTATAAGGTAATTAAGTGCGTTAGGTACTAGTATTGAGAAATCTTGATGCAATTTCATCATCATTTATCATCATTACAGCCCTTCACAAGTCCACTGTTGAACATAGACCTCCCCCAAGGAATGCCACAAAGCACGGTCCTGAGCCACCTGCATCCATCGACTTCCTGCATGTCTTACCAGGTCGTCACTCCATCTAGTGGGGCCTACACTTCCTACGCCGGTACGAGGCCGCTACTCGATAACCTGTTTTCCCCATTGGTTGTCGGTTGTGAGCCCATTGCCAGTTCAGCTTACTAACCTGTTGGGATATTAAGATGGAGTACCTCGTTTCCAGTAAAAAGTGTGTCCGGTTCTCTACACTCACCACATGAAACACAGCAGCTTTAAGCTGCTATTTTACACTGGTATTCTGTGAGAGCGTGGTCCTTCCCCGGTCGAGCTGACTTATTCGTGCTACAACTGTACAATTAATATAGCCGCAGCATGGCTCTACCACGTAAAATTCTTCTATATCTACTATCATTTAAAATAAATCATCTATCATCTATTTTTGGGCAACAACATTTGCTAATTAATAATACATATTTTAATAATTTTCATATCAATAAAACTTCATTTATTAAAACTAGTAATGGGCATGCTTTCCAAAGCCAAAGATTTAAGTAAATGTTACAATCATAGATATAATAAAAGTTTTTTTTAATATTTATATGGTTATATTGGGTTATAGTATTCAATATAGTTTAATCTATATAAATAAATAGAATGATAGAGGTTTGCAGTTGTGCGCGCATCACAGAAAAACTATTGGATAGATTTCAATTAGGTTTTCTAAGTTTTATTTCTTAGACACTTGGCCCTTATCTAAAAAAAATATAGCGATATCTTAATTTAATATAAAGTTATTAAAGTTTTAAGAAACAACGATTTTTTTTTAAATTCGGAGGTTCTTACACAGTCTTTACTTCCCGCATCTCAACTAGTTTATAGTACGAACGAGTATACTCAATTCCAGTCGAATGTTATATGAATCTACATAATATAATGTTACGAAGTTAGTGAAAGTATTCGTGAGAAGACACCATATGACCGACAAGCGTGAGCGTACGTTAAAGTAAACAAGTTAGTGGAAACAAATCTGAAGGTTTTTACTTATTAAGTACGTTGGAATTTATAGTTTATCTACATATTAAATTATATGGATATTATAATTATTTAAAATTATATGGAGTGTATCCGTTCTACCCATTAATGTAACCAACATTATTTGTGCTGGGCATGGTGGGGTATAACAAACTGGAGGTTAGGAGGGAGTTAAGTTTGGCAACGTAGATGTTTAAATTGCTGCGTGGAAAAGTATATAACGAGGCGATATTGCGAATGGCTAAGTAGGGATGGGCAAAGGGAAAAAATATATCGATATATATCGAATCTACATTTTTAAACAGTATCGATATATATCGCGTGATAAATATCGATATATCGATATATCGTCATCATTTGCATGATGGAAAGATAGGGTCCAAAATTTCCAATTTCTAATTTGCATCAACTCTGCTCTAACAGCTCATATAGTCAACAATATTGACAGGGGAAAGAAATGTATTGCAGTGTTTTTAGATTTAAAAAAAGCATTTGATACTGTCTCTGTCCCCATTCTTATACAAAGGCTGGAGAGTATTGGCATAAGAGGAGTGGCACTTGCGCTATTATCAGACTACCTCAATGAGCGCAAACAATGCGTGAAAATAGGCCAATTTATTAGTAACCAATGTGATGTGACGTATGGGGTACCACAGGGAAGTGTACTTGGGCCGACTCTGTTCTTGATTTACATCAACAGTCTCTGTAATATGAGTATCAACGCGGGACAAGTTTTTTCCTATGCAGACGACACTGCCATTGTTTTCACTGGCAACACGTGGGATTCCGTACGCCATGTCACGGAAGAGGGGCTAGTCAGGGTAGCTAACTGGTTAAAATCTAACCTTTTAACATTGAATACGGACAAGACAAACTACATAGCATTCACAAAGTATAATTCAACGCAACCTGAACATAATTTCAAAATTCAACTTCATGACTGTGACAACATTCAAAATAATTGCTCTTGCAAAGCCATAACCAAAGTTAACAACACAAAATATTTGGGAGTTGTAGTTGACCAGAGGCTATCCTGGCACGCCCATCTAGAACTAATGATGGGAAGAGTCAGAAAACTCATATGGGTGTTTAAAAAGCTGAGACATGTTGCTGACAAAAAACTATTAAAACTAATTTATGTTTCATTGGCTCAGTCACTATTGGCCTATTGTATCCCAGTCTGGGGAGGTGCTAGTAAGATGAAGTTCCTCGATTTAGAAAGAGCACAAAGAATACTGCTAAAAGTAATGAGCTTTAAACCTTATTGGTTTCCCACTGATAACCTATACAAAATGTGTGATGTTCTTACAGTTAGACAATTGTATATATTAAATATAATTCTAAAACGTCACAAAACGCTCCCATATGATCCTTCTATAATATCTAGGAGACGAAAGCATAATGTAGTTCCCATTGCTACAGTCAAGTCAAGTTATGCTAAGAGGCAATTTATGACTCGATCTGCTTATTTATATAATAAATTTAATAAAGTTTTAAACATTTACCCTATGACTAAGTACAATTGCAAAATGACTTTGACAACACTATTAAAAACTTGGAGTTATGATAAAACTGAGAATTTCTTGCTGAACCAAAACTAACACTTTCTTGGATTATATTTTACATATAATAGAAGTTTGAATAAAAAAAAATATTGTATTTAATAAAATAGGAATGATAAAACTCACCTAAACTAAATTATGTAAGAATTCACAATAAATAATATTTATTTATTAAAATAGAAATGATAAAACTCACTTAAACACATACACACACACACATACACACACACTCTCGCACACGCGCGCACGCACGCACACGCACACACGCGCACACACGCGCACACACACACACACACACACACACACACACACACACACACACACACACACACGCACACACACACACACACACACACACACACACACACACTTATTTTGTAATATTGTAAATCCTTTGTGTATCATGTAAAATTTGTTTAGAAAGCATATACATATTTTTATCTACTGTAATTTGTCTGTTGTGGAGCAACTTTAAAAATCAAAATTAAAAATATGTTTTTAGATTAAGTATTGAAGTAAGTAGGTATCACATTAGTATTCGATAATCAATGTTACGGAGAGGGGGGATTTCTAACACAAGTATTTATTTACTTAAAAGAAATCCTCAATCATAACAGTGCTATGTAAAAACTCTGATACTGAATAAATTATTTGATTTTTGATTTGATTTGATCAACCTTCTAAAGGAGGCCCCACTGACTCCAGTGCTGCACACTCTAAATAAAGGAGCCCAGAATGTAGATTTATTCTGCTGTTCCTTGTGTGAATTTACCAAAGTGGCATTATATCTATTATGTTATAATAGTAGATACGTTGTGTTCTGTCCTTATTAAATTAGATAGTTATATGAGCTTACACTGTGGTATTAGATACGCCTGTAAATACAGAGGTAGAAATAAATAAAAAAATATCCATAGTATATATGTGAACGTATGTTTTTTGTTATTAAATAGAACTGACAAACAAACTAGCAGTTCACCTCATTGCGGATGGCTCCTGTAGTCTACGG